GTTTGCCGAAATGAAATGGGCAAACGCTTCAGGTTAGCAACATATGCTGCAGGAACAGCTCTTGCTCATCCAATCATAGGTACTTCCGATTAGCTAAAACTAAGTTGAATTAATCTAAAATTTCGTCACCCACTGGTTAAAAGAGGGTATTTATACCCAGATTAGCCAAAATATGTGAAAAGCACAATAATACTACTGTATATTCCTTCAAATGTTACCCACTTATTCCAAGCAATGGAAAGTGGACGTGAGTGTATTTGGCCCATGCAAAAGCGCTATGCGGCATTCCATTTTTGATGAAATCGTTTACGACGGTAACAATTCTACTCATATACTCCGGGGTAATTTCTACAAACTACCGCTAATGTTCAAGAATGCTAACAGTAAATTAGATTGGTTTTAGAGTCTGGCGATTTAAATTCCACCTCCAAGTCAACTGCTATTAGCGTCGAAAGCGTAGTTGTTGCACGTCCTACCCAAGAACGTTACAAGTGGATTTACGACGTCTTGACTGTGGCCCCTATCGTTTGATCAAATGATGAGTCGTTTCAACCTATGTCAAGACGGCGGGCTCCCTGAAGCATGAGCGCCGCGAAACAGCTCCTTGCTTTGATCGAGGGTGGGATGACATCTATAATGCGTTGCAGTGTGTAGCTCATGCCATTGATATTCATCATATTATTGAAGCAGTTGTTTAATTACTAGATGTTTTACTATTAATTGTACTCTTAATGCCCGAAGCGCCATTCGTAACATCGTTTTCATAGTTTTCCCTTACGAATGCACAACGCTACATATTTTCGTATCCATCATCCCTATTCCCACAACAAGCACTTCTCGGGTGGGTTCATGTACGAGACGGTGGGGCACTGGAACACTCGGGCAAACTCAGCGTCGTTTTGCAACGTCCCTGTCACGCGGAGCCGACCGGGCGGGTACTTAACCCTCATATTCCAGAGGAGTTGGTCTTCCGTGTTCTTGGAGCACCATAATTGGGCGTACGACAAGTAGAACAACTTGTCGCCTGCTTCTTCCGTGTACTGGGATGGGAATTTCTTCAAGTACTCGTGGTACGCGCGGAAACTGGTCTTGAGCCCCCCGTTGTCCGCAATGTTTTCATCCAAAGAGACCCAGGCGTCGATGTTGCCCAACACATCGTCAGTCACTTCGTTCTTGACGACAAAGTTGGCGTACTGGTTGCGAATGCACTGAGCTTTCGTGTTGAACGCAGTGCTGGTGGCGCTCGACCACCAATTGTTCAACTTGCCGTCGCCATCAAACTTGCGTCCTGTGTTGTCGAACCCGTGGGTGATTTCGTGTCCGATGGCCGTCCCGATGGCACCAAAGTTCTGGGCGGCATCGTATTTGACATCAAAGACCGGAGGTTGCAAGATGCCACCAGGGAACTCCATTTGGTTCATGTTGTATCTATACTGCGCGGTCGACTCTTGGGGAGGCATGACAAACTTGCGCTTGTCCACAGGTTGGCCGTTCAGCTTCAAGTTGGTGTCGATGTTCACTTGAGAGATCTTCCAGCGATTCTTCAAATACGACTTCGAGTCCAACGTCAGAGTGGGGTACAGCTGGGGCTTATCTGGGCCACCCACCAAATGCACTAACTTGGACAGTTTCGTTTGCGCGCTGGCGCGGGTCGCGTTGTCCAACCAGTCGGCGGTGGCAATGCCAGTGGAGAATGATGACTTCAATGCCTTGGCCAGTTCGTCGACCGTCTTGGCTGTATCAGCCGACCACACCGCGTCTAAGAAGTACTGACCCAAGAGCTCCCCAACCGTGGAGCTCGCCTGAGACACGCAGAACGTTTCACGAGTAGGTTCCACCTCTTCGTAATCAATCTTCTTGCCGAACAAGTTCCAGTTGGCAGTGCGGAATTCAGGGGTCAAGTGGGTGGACGAGGCGTGGATGAGCTTGTACTCCACGATGGTGCGGAGGTCGTCCAACGTCGTCTTATTTAACAACGCTTCCGTCTTGTCAAAGTAGGCCAATTTGGTAAAACCCACCCAGTCGTTCGACCCACCGGACTGGTCGTGGACGGTGAAGCCGTTGGCCTTGAGCCAAGAGCCGATGAGCAGCGGGTACTTCTGGTCCAGTTCGTAAAACGTAAACGCAGTGTACGGAGACACAGCGATCTCCGGCTCCTCGAATTTGTAGAGGCCGAAATTGGCCACAGTGTGTTCAAAGCGGGTGATCACCGGTACCGCAGCCGCCGCTTGTTCGGCAGTGTAGCCAGCCAACTTTAACACCGACGCAATGTACACCTTGTAGTCGGCTTTGATGATCGACCAGTCGAAAGGGAAGATGTAATACGAGTGAGGCAGCGACTGGGGGGATCGGACACCGAAGAGGGCGTTCTTGGTCGAGTCTTTGGCGTCAGCGCTGGCCTTAATGTCGACAAAGGCAGGGATGCCGTTCTTCTTGGCCAATTCACCAGCCACGACGAGGAGGTCCAATTTGGTGTTGGCCGACCGAATGGCTTTGAACGAGTCGGCCAACGGAGTCAGGCCGAGCGACGACAGCGTAGCCGTGTCCAAACAGGAGTGGTAAAACTCACCAAGCTTGGTCTTGTTGTCAGACAAAATCTTCGTCAACACGGCTTCGTTTTGGATGGTGATCTTGAAGAACGCCGTATCGGTGATGGATCCGTTCGGGGGGATCACAGCATCCTTGTACCACGCGCCACACGCATATTGATAAAAGTCGTCGCAAGGGTTTGCGGAGTAGTCGATGAGCTTGGTCACAGACTCGGGGAGTTCCGTGACGGAGCCAGCCGTGGCGGCAACCGCCAATGCGCTGAGGGCGATGAGGACTTTGACCATCGTAGCGCGAAAAGGAAAATAAATCGGCCAGTAAAAACGAACTAGGTGGGCAAGTCGTTCAACCCAACCCACCGGATTCCCATCGTTTAGGGAAATTGGGAAATTAGAGTATATTCGTTGGTAAGTACAAAACGGTCGCCCCCTGTATTCGTAATCTAAGTTCATGTACATATGTACTACCTCCGTTCCGGAATGTAGTAAGTAACTTGTACCCTTCCGTAATGGGTCAACAATTTAGCACTAGTAACAAAATCACCAAATTTAGCCGAAATAGGCACAACGCGCAGCGGAATGACAGGGTTAACCGTAATTACTCCGAGTACATTTTTTTGTTAGTACGGACCGCACTAATTTTCAACCTCCTACTATGTATAGTACTATTAATAGTACTAGTATATCTGAATCAGCACTAATTATGACAAATTGGTTTTCGCGACATATTTCCATCACTATTGACTATTATGAACTGAGTCCAGTACCAAAATGTGCGACCAATCAATCAATCATAACCGATGTTTTGGTATGTTCTGTGTCAAGAATTTTGTCTTTTCTCAAAACTATTCGCAAAATAATGGATGTCTTATACTAAATTTAGTAGCGCGGACTGTATGTAACGTAAAAAACAGTTTAACATGTAAGATAACTTAGGGAGCGTCTGGTAACATTTCAAAAATAATATTCCATTTTCTCGTAAAATGGGATTAACCAAAATGCCATTTTCAAAATGGAGGTAAAAGGTCTATTTTGTAATATGGCGTTTTGAATCTCTTCAACGAGTAAATCCCACTTGGAATTATTGGATTTGGGTTAAAACTCGTCGAACAAGACATGTTTCAATATTGATCAGATTTGTTGAATTCGGCCCCAAAATGGGGTTTTGGGGCTGAATATTGCAATCTTTCCAGTTACCAGGTGCACCCTTAGCCAATTTAGAATACTTAGGGCCTGGTCGGGGAATGTTTTTGTTCATGTCTCTGTCTGTCAAGCTGGGGAGGGACGGATAAATCCTTGCGGAAATAATCCGGCGACAATTAATCGGGGAAGATTTAGTGGGTCGAATCGGGGGAAATTTAACGCTAGTAATGTAAATCGAGGTAATATCTCCGTCACAACGAAATTAGATTCACACACACACAACAGATATGGCGCTAGCACATGTACATCGTCGTCGTCACAATAAAACTGGTCACTTTCACACAAAACCAGTCGAAAATTAGTCGTTATCACAATAATCTCGTCGTTATCACAACAATTCCGTCGTTAACACGCAACATGGGGCGATGTCACAAACGCGACACGTTTAATAAAGTCTTGTGAGTATGGATTTTTCCTGTCCCAATAGAGTCACAGACCAAGTCATGTTGGTGAGTTTGTCAGTATTGATGTACCAGTTAATGTGCTAGTTAGTGATGCTAGTGTCACATACTGCAGTACTGAGGCGAAGACAAGTGTCGTTATTGAGACTTGAACCATGCATGCGCTGACTGAGAGTTAACAATTATAATGACACGCATCGAATTGATGTTCGACACAATACACACATGTGCGCAATGTGAGTTTGAGTGAACAGTACAGTACAAATACGTAGTAATTCTGGGGCTTAACGAAGGTAGGTACAAGTTTGGAATTTGAGCACTGTAGAACGGATATGCTAGGCATCACTGATGCTGTCACTCAGCTTTGATCGCTGCAATTGCAGCGAATGTGCACCCCTTTGATTCACCCCCTTTGATGCATGAACAAACCCTAGCGTTATACAGTCCTTAGCACCGCTTTGATTCACCCCCTTTGATGCATGAACAAACCCTAGCGTTATACAGTCCTTCTGTAGAACTCTCCACAATAATTGCCCCCCCCAGCTCGATAGACAATGCGCATTCTGTATTCTACTCAAATACTCCGGAGTGTGCAATGTACACACTCAATCGCATACTTCTAGAGAATTCGTTTTAACCATGTATGTAGCGTGGGGGGATGCTGTGGAGTGGAATTATTGTGAAGAGTACCGAAGGGCCGTGCAAGGTGTAAACTATGCATGGGTTGCACATTGCAGCAATTATAACGATCAACACTACGAGGAAGTCATAATGACATGAGGGGCCACTGTAGACTTCTACATGTGGATACCCCACGACTCACAGTTAAGTCCAAACTTTTACTGGTAGTGTGCCTGCTGCATATCCTGTCGTTGAGCCCTTCACTCAAGGTACAGCGCACAGACGTAAACACTTAATCAAATATTGCATGACGCATTGTGAACTCAAATTCATGAAAGGTTTAGGTTTCTATTCTCCACTACTGTACAGTACAACCACAATGGCCTAAGGTAGCTCACGTTCATGGCGTGACGCTGCCATCACAAATGAGCACAATGACCGGTACATAGCAACTGCTGCCATCATAGCTAAGATTGATCTCGACAAGGGTATACCCAATGCAAGGGAACTACAGCAGTCAGGCATGGAGAGGCAGCGAGCCCACCATCGTGCTTCAGCCTTGTCAAGTGTCCAAGTACAATGCCCTTTGATTAGTTATATAAATTTTATTTATAGCCAATCATAAGTTACAAAGACTTCATTGTTGAATTTGCAGTCTCAAGCCCACAAGCACCAGCCACCACTTGCAGAGAAGGGCTCCTACCCTCGCAGCCTTCAGCTGATGTTGTAAAACATAATGCATTCTATCTACTACGTAGGATATAGCTACGCTACACCAGATTTCGTGCCAAAACAGCGCAATAAGACCAGAACGATCACATTCATTTGGAGCTGCGGCGGCCTGTGGCGTATGGTGCGTTTCATCTAAGGCCCTGTTCGTGGAACAAAAACACACCAACACTGAACGAATTACGTTTGATTGGCTGATGTATCCGTAAACCGGATGGTTTCTATGGTAGACACGTCCAGTGTCAGCGATTTTAACACGGGACACAGGGTCCCGTGTTGCAAGCATCAACCCTGAGCTCCAATACCACTGAACCCATCATGACCCACTCATCAAGTTTCGCTGACACCAAGCCTGCAAGGACATGGCAAAGAGGTCGGCAACTGAAGCCGCACTTGTGGAGAGCTTCGACGTGGGCCCTCCCACAAGATCTGCCGCTTGATGCTGACATCATCCGAAGCGATGGCAGCTCAACCATGGTTGAAAGCGACTCCGACAACACTGTAGCACCCCAAACGGCACCCTTCGAACGGAAGCTTTTCTCCGGGCGCAAGAAGCTCAACAAGGCAGCGCGTGGCAAAGAGAAGAGCCCTTCGCATGCGGAGTCCTTGTTGAAAGGGCTGGAGTCTGTTGGCTCGGGTCTACAGTCTCTTGGGACAGCAGTTACAGCGGCGCATTTAGTGCCGGACAATGCGATCAACAACAAGATTATTTCCTCGTTGGAAGTTCAGACCGCTGCAATCAATAGACAATCGGGACAGTTGGAAAGACTCCTTGAATTTCTAATTAATCGTGGATAAAAGTCAAGTGAGTTTGAACAATGCTTGAGCTATTTTGTCTCTACGATACTTGGCTACGCCGCGCAAAGCTCCATCTGTCTCAACAGTGTTTTGTTTGGAAGTCGGGATCGGTTGACAGTAGTCGTTTCTTGTCGAGTCATCGCCTTCCCCGTCGAAGAGGGGGTCATTCATACGCTGCATCATGTTGTGCAAAACCATGCATGACATTACGTGCTTCACAGTCGTCTCCAACCGTTTCTCTGTCATCGGTCCCTTAAGCACGCGGAAACGCTCCTCGAGGCGACCAAACGCACACTCAACGGCCATACGGGTACTTGACAAGGCGTAATTGAAGTGCGCTTGTCGCGGGTTCAATGGGCCCCAACCTTCTTCATGTTGAAGGTATGGCACCATTAACCAAGGGAACAAGGAGTAACCGGAGTCGCCAATTATATAGCACCCCTTGGGGGCTTTGGCGCGGAAAGTATTGCCCAGTTCCGACAATTTCCAGATCTTTTTGTCCGAAAACGATCCCGGCCGCATGTCCACACTCATGAACGACCCAGCGCTGTCGACAACAGCTTGAATGTTCAACGACGTGTCGCCGTGTCGATTGTAGAACCCTTCATGTAGACGTGGACGCAGGATTTCGATTAAGGTCCCATCTATTGCACCAACGA